ATATACATCCTGAAATATAAGAGCAATTAATGCATAAATAAATTAAATATACTTCATTTGTACTCCACATAGTTATGTACCTAAAATATCATCCGTAAAAGGCAATTGTTTCACATGTTGCATCACTTTAAATCTAACGGCTATCCTTATTAAATATTACCTAATAATCACGATAATCATGTTTTTTTTTGAGGTAACATGATTGATTAACTCTAAGTTTCTAACCATAATTTTGATATGATTGTTGATATAAATATACCGTATAAGTTAGGGTATCATATTTATAATTGTAAAGTATCATATTTCCTATACACTTGTTTATATTTGCAAATAATAAATATTAATCCAATAAAAAAACATTTTATGAAAAAAAAAAGGAGAGCTCTTGTTTAATAAAATTCAAATAATTAATTAATAATAAATTTAATTTTTGTTATTATTCGTATTTTTATTAGACATAAATATTTACATAGAAATAAAAATTTATAAAAAAAATTATCTATAAATTACTTACAAAAGTGTATTATTTTATGTCGGTTTTGCTATGGAGCAATCAGATGGCTCGGCATGGAGTCATCCATAGTTATCCACAAATGGTATATTGACACGTGTCCTGCAATAAATACATATTGGACACGTGTCAATACATAAATATAATCCACAAATGGTGTATTATCACCTGTCCTGCAATAAATACATATTAGACACGTGTCAATACATAAGTATATGGATGATTCAATAAGGGAGTCATCCGATGACTCCAACGAATTTCTGTATTTTATGTTATATCTGATTATATAATTATATTTATTCATAAATATAACATATATTAATCCGCTTATAAATATTCGCTCGAACTCGACTTTGCTCGTTTACCGTTTACACCTCTTATTATATCGAACTATTGATATTTGATACGATACGGTATTTAATACACTACTTAAAATTGCAAAATTTATACACGTTTAGTAAAGTAGTACATTTTGGAAGAGCAATTAATAGGAAAGTTGAGAATATTAGTAGAGACCTCAACCACCACTTGACAGTTGGTGCTCTAAGGGACGTCTCCACCGAAAAAGCCCTCTCTCTGCTGTTTTATCAAATCTTCAAGCAAACGACGGCGTCACATCACCTCACTCTGCTTCAGATCTCTGCTTTTTAGAACCCTCGATTCTGTGGCGCAATCCCGCTCGCGGCGTTTGCTTTGATCGATGAGAATTTTGTAGATTTATTAGGTATTTGTGGTGTAGATCGATTGATTTGCTGTAGAAATCATTTTTTTTCGCCGTTGTACGGAGGGAAAATGGCGGTGGAATCTGGACCCGTGACTCCTGGGCAGGTGCGGTTATGACATTTACAGTTCATGCAGTTGGTTGTTGTTGTTGTTGTTGTTGTTGTTGTTGTTGATCGGCCTTTTTGATCTCTGCTTCAGTTGTTTTTTAAGTATGGTTGTGGATGTGAAATCTGTTCTGTATTGCCTTCTTCGCTTTCTTCTTCATTAGGTTATTTGATTGGTGTGGTGTGAACTCGATGTGGATCTTGGTTTGTAGTTGATTATCTTGATTTTCTGCCAACTCGTGTCTGAGCTTTCTTATACTAACTGCGATGTGAGTTTTGTTGTGATTTTATGCCAACTTATGTATATGTCCTGTGGAAGTTTGTACCTCTCTATCGGTTTATCTTTTGCATGATGGTGATTTTTGATTCCATATAGATAAAGGAAATG